TTGCTTTTTACTAGGTATACACCTGTGCAATGGATGTACTTCATGTAGGCATCTGCTCTACACCTCGGCATGTATGAGTGTATGGCGAATGTGAGATGCACCAATATTTATTTTCCCCATTGATCTATTATGTAGCATCCCCTGTACAATGTACTTTTCCATGTTTTGATAAAAAAAACAAAAAAACATTTACTGGAGAACCTGAAAACCCACCAGAGTAAAAAGTTTGCCCAATGATGACATTAAGAAGGAAGATTTAATGTTTTATAATTTTTAATAATAATTCTGCCCTTAGATGTAATCTAAGACATTGACAGAAAATACACAACATAAATTATGCTGTTACCATTATGATGTAAATCATACATGTGTCTCACATTCTTGCATCATTTAAAAAGCAATCTGGGCATACTCTACAAATGATTTTACGCTATATATGGGAGTAGAAATAAAACAGATATAGGAAATGAAAGCAAGTTAAAAGGAAAAGAGGAGAACAGGAAAAAGTAGAAGAGAGAGGAATGGTGTAGTACAATGATTATCTGTCATTCTTTCTTTATTTAGACAATGTGTAAATCATTACAGAAAAGAAAAAAGGAGTTAGAGCATATGACGACACCTGAGTTTGTTACTCTTACTCATACTATAGTTCAATAAAATCACGCTTGACTAACATGTGCTAGCTAAACAATACTGTAAAACATAACGATTGTACTGGACATGTTTATATGCAGTTCTACATAGTAGTGGGCTTAACGCCTTAGATTGGAAAAACTACATTGGGACAACATGACTATTATATGAAATAAGAAACATGCTGAGTATGCGATGAGGCTAGTCCTCTGATGGCTCTCAGCCTAGGTATGTGAGCAAAAGATTGTGTACGCTTTTTCTTAATTATTCTGCCCTGAGAGGGCCTCACCTTCTCTGGCCACATGCTTCTCTGGTTTCTTTATTGGAGATCAAGCTTGGTAGATGCAACTCGTGTCCTCAATGTGAATCAGAAGTGCTGGAAAATCACATCAAGCTGCAACAGGAGGTAGGCTGTTAAGCCGCGACAAGCCTGCTGTGGTGAATTCACGCCATGTGAGGATACATGAAGGGCAGCTGCCATTTTGGAATGTCGGAGAGCAATTTGGCAGCAACTCTGAATAGGTGGTAAGTATAAGTGCTGCAGTTTAAATAATTCCAGAGGGAACCGGGATATACCCCACCATTCCAGGGGGGGAGTAGAAGAGCTGCGTGTTCCGGGCCATGAACCAAAGAGCGGGGATATTGGCCGCCTCTCCCTCTTCATAGTAGACTGCAGAAGATGTTCTCAGGCTCCCAGTGGAGGAAATACTTGAAAAAGGTGTCTTACAGATTGCCGGGAACCCCTGACCTGAGAGGCGAGTTGGCCTGGAGTAACACCCTAAATTCGACCAAATATGAAGGAGCTCAAGCGCAAAAAATACTTTTGATACATAACTATGAGGACTCTACTTTGTGCACTTGCATTAGCGGATCTAATCTAGTTTAAACAGTTTTACCTCATTAATTTATAAACCCCATGCTATTCTCAATCCTTTTTGTAACAGGATGTAGAGGCATGGTGTGGAGATCGAATATGAGTGTCATTAGTCAGTGAGACAACCAGACCCATAGTGGCCATCGGGCTGTATACGTAGATGATGGACGGGGAAAATTAATCAAGGTAATACAGGTTTTATTCTATGTATAAAGTACTAAATGTTAATAAACATTTAATTTGTCTCTCTGGAGACTAGTTCTTATTTGGCCCTTTGTTCCAGAACAGCACCTGTTTTTGTGTTGATAAATCTGTCAAAATGTTTTGTGGCTTCTGTTTTTGTCATTAGATACAGAACAACAGAGAAAGGACCCGAGAGAGCACTCTATACACCACACCTGGGATATTCAGAGGAACAGGGTTATGTAGCATCTTTTGCAAAACACATAAAGGCTTATTTACTAAAGTGAGAGTTGTTGGGGAAATTAAAGTGATTATCAAATTTAATGCCAAATAGCTGAATTGAAAAAAATTCTCCAAGGCAACTATGCTTTGAGGTCATCTATTGTGGATTAAAATTATTATTATTATTATTACTGGCATTTATAAAGTGCCAACATATTCCCCAGGGCTGTACAATTGAATTCAAAATTCACTTTGAATACTCTAAAATTCTCACTTTAGTGAATAAGCTTGATAGTTATCCCAAAATGCTTCAAGTAAAATCCTGTTAAAATTGAATTTTTCTCTTAGAAGGTGTGAATTAAGCTTGATTAATGGTATATTTGCATAGGTTTCACCTATCACATTTCTTTAAGAATACTGAGTATTTTCTAATGTTGATTTAAATATATTCTCTCATTTTAAATACCCTAGGAGCATGAGTCTACTTTCCCACGGCCCCTTCATTCAATAAGGCGGTTGCAACTTGCAAACACACCCTCAGCTATGTGAACACTGAATACTCTGTATTATTGGAAAGTAAAACGTACTTTAATTTACCTCGGGTCATTCATTTAAAAATGTGCCCTAACAATTTTCCACATCCTGAAATATTGTTTCTAGAGGTTTGGTGGTTTTATAATCAGATCAAGCTGATATCCTAAAACAAATTCTCTTACCAATAAGTAAATTACCAACAATTCAAAATGTTTTTTTTTACTAAACTCTGAATTATAGTGAACAAAAGTCTGAAGGGCAACATTAAAGGACCACTCTAGGCACCCAGACCACTTCAGCTTAATGAGGTGGTCTGGGTGCCAGGTCCAGCTAGGGTTAACCCATTTTTTTATAAACATAGCAGTTTCAGAGAAACTGCTATGTTTATAAATGGGTTAATCCAGCCTCCAATTCCTCTAGTGGCTGTCTCATTGACAGCCGCTAGAGGCGCTTGCGTGCTTCTCACTGTGATTTTCACAGTGAGAGCACGCAAGCGTCCATAGAAAAGCATTGATAATAATAATAGACAGAACACAAAGGGTTAGGTACAAAACACTACTTTACCATGTAAAAATCGTAACATCCCAGGGGAAATTGTAAAGCAACAGTAAATGAATTCAAGATTGTCTGGGATATGCATAAATATATACTTCACAACAAATGTGACGTTAAGTTAAATAAGTCTGCTGTATCACAATGGGCAGGTTAAATGGTCCAAGTGGCTCTTATCCCATGTTACATCCTATCATCTGTTTTATGTGCATTCAAACTACTTCAATCATATAAACAATGGAACATTTTAGAAAGAATACTCTGTGTGCCAGTAGGCTTTCCGCTGGATAATCTGTTGTATGTAGAAGATTTTGCCTGTTTCCGCTGGTACAAGAAAGCAGCCACTGGTGACATTTCATGTATAAAATAAGAGATTAATCTTTGCTGTTAGTACAGCACACACAATTTCTATCTGGCTTTACCTCTTCCTACAAACTAAGCCTGTAGAGCTCAATTGTCATTTCTCTCCAAGTGCTGAATAGTCTATCACAACACGCATTACTGTAAGGGATCAGACAGATATTCTCTACATGTCTTGAAATAAAAAAGGGGATATGAGCTGGATCTTTAATTAGACAGGTGTTTTTCTATACTTCATCTGTTTATGTTAGCCTTGCCTATGCGTTTTTAAAGGTAACTCTCCTCTATTATCCCAGTGTGCCTATACTTGAAATACATTGTGAAGCAGATAACAACAAATTGGTCCATCAAGTCTTTCCAGAAACAAAAGAGACGCATTACAGGTTAACTTCGTATTTTTAATGCATTCTGTAGATTTAAAAAACAAAATAAAAAATACAAATAGACATAGAAATGATAGATACTCAGTAATTTAAAAAATACAACAACTTAAAGCTGGTGGTTGCTGTCACTCACAAGCACATATGATTCCATTTTTTTTCATTAAAGATACACTGTAGGCACTATAACAACTTTAACTTTTGAAGTTGTTATAGTGCCCTAAACATGTTCCCCTTTATCCAGTTTCTCAAGTTGTTGTAGTTCTCTTGTATGAGATCTTGAAAGCGCGGCTTCTAGCCATGCCCCAGGCCCTCTGTATTAGAGTTCTGGGAATCATACTGCCTGGCTCTCATTACCAAAACATACCTTGACATTAGTAAGCACAAACAAGCCTCGTAGAAGTACGGTAATTTGTGAGTGGTGCTGCCAATGAGCTCATCACATGTAAATGCACACTTGCGTGGTGTTGTGTTCGGTTTCTCATAGAGATTCATAGTGTTTAATGATTCTCTTTGAGAATAATTTGAATGGCACAATGTGGCTAGAGAAGCATATGCACATAAGGTCAACAATGCTTCTGAATGAGAAGTATTGGATAGGTCTGGTGACCTCATGAAGCCAGAAGGGGCAGAGCAGAATCCTACGAGAGGGCTACTTAAGGTGCTGGAATAAAGGTATATAGGTAATTATTTAAAAAAAATAATTTATTAATAAATCAGTTGCCGAAACTCTACAGTGTTTCTTTAATGAATTGCTATAAATCTGGATTTTTGTGTGTTATTTTCATCTCTCTCTCACATCTAAGAATTATGAGATATTAAGTGGGGGGAGTTGTATGTATACTAGGAACTAGACTTGCACAAGACAAAAAAGTTTGATTCGTCCAAATTGATTTGTGAGAAAATGTTTTTTGGTCCAGACGAGTTTCATCCATGTGGCTTTTCAGTTCTGATAAACTCGGTCAATACAATTGTTTCAGAAAAAAATATTCAGATGATTCAAAATGGAGCACAAACGGACCAATTAGTATACTTTAATGCAAAAACAGCTAGAATATTGGTTTGCCTAATGGTAATGTAATATCAGCCGTTTGTGAATGCCATTATTATATTATTTTATCTGTACTAAATTTTTTTTATAAACTTGTAAATTAATGAAAAACATGTTTTGTTTAAAAAAAAAAGTAAATTGAAAAACAAAAATCACAAATTAGTGAAATAATTCTAAACCAGTGAATCGAAGTTTCACTGACAGTGTCTAGGTCCAGCAGTAACCTAACAACCTCACCAGTCTTACAGTAAGATCGATGACACATCCCTCACTCCCACACAAGCATAGCAATGGTAAAACACCCATGGTATGTCCCTCTCCTTAATAGCTGAAGTCAAAGTGTCTGGGAAAATCCTGCTTGGAAATGTGTATTTTTTTTTACTGTGCCTTTTTTTCTTCTCGCTAATGATCACTACTTATTTAATCTGTGATGACAATCAATACTTAATAGCTGCCCCCTACTCATCAATCATCTTGCTTCATCAATCATATTTTATTCCACCTCTGGATTGGACAGGAGATACAGCCCATATCATTGGGCAGACCACTTGTCTATCATTAATTTTCAAAAAAAATTGGATTTCAACATTATTTGGCACTTTTATAAATGTACCTTGTTACAATTTCCTGGTTGTAAGTCAGATAGCAGGTCCTGTTACTTTAGCTCAAGATGCAGGCAATTGCTCAGGGTATCTGCCTTGCAAAGATTTTTCAAAGTGATGTAGTACAGCTTTTTGAGAAGTCTGTGATTGGACAGTCACATAATGTTTGTGCTGGGGAAGAAAGGGAGGGCTTGCTGTAGCTGCATATATTAGATCTGCAGTTATTGTAATCCAATATTTCATATCCCCAAGAAACCTTGCAAACAAGTTGCAAGCATATTTTATTTGAGGTTATATGTATAAAATTGCTTTTTTATGGAGTAAGCTTTAGTGTTAATAATAAAGATGTTGCGAATAACTCTTGTATTCACAATATTATAAGGGGAGGCTGGATCAGAGGCACCATGTAAATGTTCGTAAATGGTTTGACTAGAACACAGTAAGGGGATTCCTGGCACCATAGCTGTTACAGCTTGGTAATCTGTATATTTTCAAGATTAATGTTAGTTAGGGCTAGTTTTACTGTTAGTGTTATCTAGGGTTATAAACGGTGTCAAAACTTGACACTAATCAGTGTGGTAACACGGATAGCAAGGCTATTTAAGACGCCAATTGGTCACTCCCCTTCACCAGTAATGGCAGATAAAGTGAGTTTACCTAATTAATTAACTGGACTTTGCAAGTAAAAACAAAACATCTAAAAGCCGATCTTCACATTGGACAACTGCATTTTTATATATGTATGTGCATATTGTAATATATTGTGTTTGAATCTGTGAGTATAGTGAGTGTATGTAGTTGTGTCAATGCATACAGGGTTAAATAATAATGTTAGAAGTTGTTAGAATGGGGTGGGGGTAAGGTTAGATATTGGGTAATGACCTAGTTGGATTTCATAGCTATTTACTAAAGTGAGGATTCATACTGAATTTAAGTCAAAATAGTAAACTGGAAATATACTCCTTGGAGGTTGTATTTTTCTTATTATAATTTATTTGGTGCCAACGTATTCTGCAGCGCTTTACAATATTATAAAGGGGGGAATTTAAGGAATACATTTTACAATTACAAAATGCTACAGCAACAATAGGTTGATGATGACCCTGCTTGAAAGAGCTAACAATCTAGATGAGGTGGGATATAAAAACACAATAGGAAGGGCAGCGTGAGGGGTAGCAGGATTGAAAGACCTGAGTGGAATGTGGCCCTTTAAGAGAGAGTCAGAGATAGGTTTGTGAAATACAAGTTACTATAAAATGATTGAAGACTAGGGGAGAGTCTGATGGGAATAAGCAGACTGTTCCAGAGAAGAGGAGCGGCCCGCAAGAAGTCTTGCAAGCGCGAGTTAGCAGTAAGAATAAGAGCAGCAGACAGGAAAAAGTCACCGGCTGAGCAGTGAGACTGAGAATGAGTGTTCCTATGAATTAGTGAAGAAATGTACTAGCGGGGGTAGAGTGATTTTGTTAAGACACGGAGGCTCCTATTATGCTGTACTCTTTCTTTATTTCCCTCAGCAGCAAAGAAAAAAATCTGCGTTCAGGAGAGTGGTGCCCTTCCGAACATGTGGCGAGGTACATCGCCTCTAGAGTCTGTAAAACCTTGGACAAGGCTACACAGAATAAGTTACGGGCAGAAAGCCCTCGCCCTACTGTCCCTGATGATGCGTGTAAAACGCTTATTGTAGACCCCAAAATCGTCCAGTTGTGGGGGAAAATTGGATGGAAACCGAGAAAGGGTTTGGGTTTTTTGTTGACCCACTGTCAGGATAAGGTCCTGGACATATTAGGCCCTGCTGCCCAAAAATTTTTAATTCGGTTGAAGACGACCGAGATCTGGATCGAGATACCATACGTGGTTATTATTATTATTATTGCCATTTATATAGCGCCAACAGATTCCGTAGCGCTTTACAATATTATGAGAGGGGATTTAACTATAAATAGGACAATTACAAATAAACTTACAGGAACAATAGGTTGAAGAGGACCCTGCTCAATCGAGCTTACATTCTATAGGAGGTGGGGTGTAAAACACAGTAGGACAGGAATTTGCAATCAAATAAGGTGGGCTGCCCTTTAGGAGAGGTAGAGAGACAGGTATGTTAGGTAGGGGTTAGTCTTGGAGGCCATAAGCTTTCCTAAAGAGATGGGTTTTAAGGCACTTCTTAAAAGATGCAAGACTAGGGGAGAGTCTGATGGCAGGAGGCAGGCTATTCCATAGGAAGGGAGCCGCCCGCGAGAAGTCCTGCAAGCGCGAGTTGGCCGTACGGGTGCGGACAACGGACAGGAGGTGGTCACGGGCAGAGCGGAGAGACCGAGAAGGGACATACCTATGGATCTGTGAGGAGATATAAGAGGGGCTAGAGTTGTTCAGTGCTTTATAGGTGTGAGTTAGTGCCTTGAATTGACTCCTATAGCACACAGGAAGCCAATGTAAGGACTGGCAGAGGGCTGAGGTGTGAGAGAACCGACTAGAGAGGAAAATCAGTCTAGCAGCAGCGTTCATTACAGACTGTAGGGGTGCAGTACGGCTTTTGGGAAGACCAAGCAGGAGAGGGTTACAATAATCCATGCAGGAAATTACTAGAGCATGGACAAGCTCTTTGGTAGTATCTGGTGCAAGAAAGGGGCGGATTCGGGCTATGTTTTTAAGATGGAATCTACAGGATTTGGCAACATGCTGGATGTGAGGCTCAAAGGTGAGACCAGAGTCAAGTATGACGCCAAGACAGATGATACCTCTGCTCTGAAGATTCAGCAGGACTTGGTTGCTTGGGAGTGCTGGGTGTTAATGCTGTTTTAAGGGGCCCAGTCTCTGCTCTGAAGATTCAGCAGGACTTGGATCCAACGCATGATTTGCCTGGTTGGCAATGTAAACTCTGCGATTGCTTCTGAGCGACGAACCCAAGCTGGTCAATTTAGCCCTTAATTAACCAGGTGCCCAAGCTAAAAGGTTACTATTCGGTGACCAATTTGTTAAGGAACTGAGGTCGTTTTTCCACACTTTTACATCTTTGGATAACCCCCATGTTTCAGGCATAAATATGGGGGTGTGTATATATATATTTATATATATATATATATAAATTACAGCATGATAAAAATAGTAATGTAATTTTTATTATGCTGTAATTTTTATAAGTATTTCAAATGCTATTATATTACATATTTTACTGATATACATATTACTGTATAATACTATGCATACATCCAGTTGCGGCTTGGATATTACCATAATGTTTCTCTCTTACAGCTTAAATTTGAGATATTGTTTGTTTCCATGCTTATCCTGGAAATTTGTTTGCTATGGACAATATCCTCTTGTTTGGGATGGCAAGAAAGAGGAAGTAGATTGTAGATCACAGTCTATTATGCTAGATAGTGGAATCTGATTGGCTGTGTCACAGTTCTCACCATGACATCCAGACGTGATCGCCCCAGAAGGGCCCAAGAGGGGATTTGAACTGTGGTCCCTTATGTGTCCTGTTCCTGCTGTCTTGCCTCTAAGCCACTTCAGAACTTGGTTATTCTAGTATTGTCTGCAGCACTAGGGGGCTGGACCAGTGGCTCCTACCTGTCTATCAAAGTCCACCTGAGACAGATTGATCATTACTCCAGGTATAAAATACTGCCTCTCTCTGAGGGCAGTATCAGTTCGTTGTATCCTGTTTTCTGTTTCCTAAGACTGGCTTGTGAACCTTTCTTCTTGGATTATCCGTTATTGCCTATTTGCCGCCTGCCCTGACTTTTGGAACCGTCTGACTACTCTTCTGGATTTGCCCTTGTCTGTACCGCGTATTGGAAACACCTTTCATGCATAGCCCCCGTGCATAGATTCACAGTCCTGGTGGTTTCTAACCTTATCACCTTGGGCTGTGTATATCTGCAAGGGTGAGCACAAATCTCGGCCTACAGGACTCCCAAATGAGCTAAGCCATGACAGGCTGTTCCTGTTGCTGGGAAGATATACCTCTTATGTTGTGGATTGTTATTATAATGTTTTAATGTTATTTTTTTTTTCTTTGCTGCTAAGCGGAAATAAAAGAGTGCAGCGTAATACTCGCCTCGGTGTCATTAATAAAATCATGACTTTACGTCATAAAATAGTAAAATCTGGTAATTGTAAGGATTGAGAGGTGAGGTGTTAGAGGAGTGATAGGAGAGAAAAATCTGCAGCATTCATGAACAATTGTAGCCTGGCTCACAATCTCCAGTCCAGTTCATCCCAAAGGTGTTTGATGGGGTTGAGCACCTTGCTTTGTGTACTGGGGCACAGTCATGCTGGAATAGAAACAGGCCTTCCCCAAACTGTTCCCACAAAGTTGGAAGCATAGCATTGTCCAAAATGTCTTGGTATACTGAAGCATTTAATGAGACACTTTAGTCACAAGAACTACTACAGCTTATTTTAGGCTTTTTGCAGTAAAGTATTTTCAGAGAACAGGCAAATTTACATTACAGCCTAGGGATACCTCCAGTTGCCACTCCTCAAATGGCTACATTCAGTGTCTCTGCCGTCTGCATGGAGACACTGAACTTTCCTTATAGAGATGCATTAATTCAATGCATCTTACGAGGACATGCTGATTGGTTAGTGCTGTGTTTAACTCGTGCTGGCTCTGCCTCCTTGACAATCTTAGCCAATCCAATGCTTTCCTATAGAATCACCACATCTGCTGATGTCAGCAAAGGGGGAGGGGAGGAGGCAGGTAGTGTTTTTAGCACTGTAGGGTCAGGAATACACCTGAAAGAGCCCCACACCATTATCTCTCCTCCACTAAACTTTACAGTTGGCGCAATGCATTCAGACAAGTAACATTCTCCTGACATCCGTCAAAACAAGACTCCTCCATCAGACTGCCAAACAGAGACTCGTGATTCATCACTTCACGGAATACGTTTACACTGTTCCAGAATTTAGTGCTTTACACCACTCAACACTTGGAATTATACGTGTTGTAAA